AAATAAAGAAAATACTGATTGGATTATAGGCTCAGGAAACCCTTGCCTAACCCTAACCTTTTCACAACCTCTACCTTAATACCCCACAACACACACACACACACACACAGAAAAAAATTATACTATCAGATATGAAAGGCACAAAATATTTTTACCTCACCTAGCTAGTACTTTACATAGTAGGTATACTAGTAGAATAATTATCAATACCAATACCCTGGTTGTTATTTTAAGCAAGATACATGTACCTTCAAAAAAATAGTTGCATATATTTTGATAACTACATAAATTTATTTATTTTAAGAATAACATTATTACGTAATAGTATATTCACTTCTCATGTAAAGTGCTGTACTAGTTAACTTTCATATACAGAGCATGACATACCCAGTTGTTCAATGGCCCAGATGCCCCAGTAAATTTGACATGAATTCATTAAGTCAGAACGATCGCACGAAAAAGCCCCGCCAAAATGTTCAGGGGAAAAATATCCAGGGCCAAAAACGCCCCTGAAAATGTAAACAAATGCATTTGCACCAGGTTTTATACTTCAAAGTTTCGTACACACCAGAGTGTTCATGTGTAATTTTCCAGATTACAGGGCATTTGAAATTGCGCATGTCCCATATCGAACAGGACGTGGCTATTGCCATTTAAAAATTCAAGCAAATAATATTTTGGACATAATTTCCAATTGGGTGCATAGGTCTTGATCAAATTTTTTTTTTTTTAATTACGCCAATTTTTATCTGTGAAAAGTGATAAAAATCATTCAAAGGGTTACGATTACAGGAAATAGTTGACTTTGTTTGACAGAGGAGTTTGAGACGTACACATAATTTATGTTTAGGATAAAATTAACTATAAAAATAAAAACAAAATGATTTGTATAATTAGAACAAATGCTTACAGGATGGTGCCAATCTGTCTACATAATCAGTAAATCATACCTAAGATAATGTGATAGCTAGTTACTACTTTTAACAATATTCAATTGTCCCCAGAAATATGATAATTTCTAGTGACATTACATGTGTGAACAGTCACTTGAGCTTAAAAATATTAATAAATAAGATTTAATATCAATATTTTTATCTCTCAAGTGACTTGTGCCAGAAACGGGTATGTAAATAAGAAAGTATGGCTCATAGCAAACTGTACGGCGTCGGTCTACCAGCTACCTGAAAAAGAGTGGTGGTAACCGCTGTATCGACAATACACATGTACGTCGCTCGGGAGAGTACGATACGTAATGTCATCAGTGACAGGCCAATCTCCGTAACCCATACCATTCATTCATCTCGACAATTTTCAAAGATTTAATAAAATTCATTTTGTTGCAATTATCCGAGATCAGGTACTTTCATTAATATCAGGGGGGAAAGCCGCTTGATCAGGCTGATCGTGGAGATCGCGCGCTTGAAATAAAACATGGTAGAAAAGTAAATATGTACATTATCTTTGAATGAAATATAGGTGGTTTCCAATTTAAAAAAAAACACAGAGACATCGACATTTCATTCGACAGATCTGGCGCCTGTGGCCGGGACAGCACGGGTTTAAAATAATATCCAGGGCATACAGTAACGTTATATGCGTCAGTTTACGGAGCAAGTTGAAATGTGTAGCATGCAAGAAATGTTCATTGGAATGTAACTTACCAATATCCTACCACTGATGGTCTGCGCTGAAATTAAACTTGCTGCCCAATCTTTAATCGATGTCATCCACCCGACTTCTGATTCTGAGCTCTTTAACGTTGTGCCTGGATTCCCATTTACCCCTCCCCCCTTCACCGGCTTAACGTTCGAACTCGACGCCGCCGCTTCGCCAACACGGCCACTCCGTAGGCAAACGTAAGTGAAAAGTCTGAACAACAAAATCAGCAACAGTCCTCCAAAAAATGTAATCAAACTGGAGCTCAAGAAAATATACCACTTTCTTTCCAAACATTCTGGGTAGCCACATCCCGTGGCCTCACACTCCGAAGGTGTGAGGTTAGCGAACGACATATTGTATCAGTTCTGGGAATAAAATGAAGATGTCGTCGACGACGAGTCGTCCATTTTCAGCGTTTTCCACGATCTACTACAGTGGATATGTTGTGTTGTGTTGTGCCATCCGCGAGAACTACGACTGGTTCATGAATAATTCATAAGCTCAGCGCGATCGGTAGGTGGCGCTCTTTACACTGATCTGTCAAGCATATTCTGCTTTGCATATGAATGACGAGTGCGTATAAAATAATCGGAAAGTAGTACAAAGAAATGAAACGAAGTAAACTACAAAGTCAAGATTATTAGCGTGACTCACTGTCAACCAATTTCAACGAAAACATAGATTAAGGTTGTGGGACGAAGACGACGAAATCAAGTACACACTTAAAAAGTAAAAATATTATAAGGTATGTTTTAGATATGATTTTAACCTTGATTCTAGCCAGCAATACATCGAAGGAAATATATTCTAATAAATAAAACATGCCAGATTGCTCTGATTTCACACTTTTCAATTTATTTGGACACATGTCATCAAAATTTGTGTGAAATATATTTTGTAGAGAAGGAATGTCTGTAAAATCGTCGACCGTGTTGTCTTCATTATGGTAAAATGGATTTTTATGAATATTCATAAATTCGACAACGGAAACGAGTGGTTTCTTTAGTGTTAGTCGATATAATAACATTGGAACATTTTCAAATGACATAATTGCGCACTGCGCTCGTGGATTCAACCGCCATTGACGTTTATAAATGTTTACACAAATCAAGAAAATGGGTTTGTGGTCGCAATAGTATGTTGGGATACAAATCTACATATGCTGAATGGAAAACTAAAAACAATAACATGTTCAAGGGACTGTACATATTTATAGACACACTGTTCAAAGGAATCGGGTCATAATAAGAAACGAAATAACGGCATGGGTACAGTACAGACAAATTAAAGAAAGCTTAGAGAGGACTCCCGTGTGTCGAAAGCAAAATAATAAAACCTAATTTTTGATAAACTTGACATATTTTGAAGTTGTCCCAGCAATCCAAGCCATCGCTTTTGCCGTTCATACATTATATTAGATTGTGTTAAAATTACCCCCCGAAACAACCATAATTGTAATTACGTCACATCTGTGTACAAAATAGGGATCGATACATGGCTAACATTCAGATCAATATTTTACGTCTACGTCTACGTCGCATATGCCAGCATAGAACTTAGAATGAGTCTATGATACCCGATAGCACCGTTTCTTATCATTACCCCTCCATAGAAAACCTTTATATGTCACCGTGATGGGATAATACGCTTCCGTCATGTGCTTGCGACTTATC